TGTAACCCTCTTCTGGAGGTCTCAAAATGTTTTCCTGAGGGAAAAGAGGAAGGAGAAACTATACATTCTAGTCTTAAAGAAATGATAACCTTCTGTTAAAACCTATCACTGCACATTTGAAAAAAAAAACACCAAACCCAGTACTTGCTGAGTTTTGACCAATAACCCCATAACTTCCAATTACAGAGCTCATAGAGATGGCAAAACAGTGGTATACAGATGACTTGTTAAAGAGAATGGAAAAGGAAGAGAAGCAGGCACAGCTCTTAAGTCCTATATAAACTAGTCCAGCAAGGCTTACAAATATATTCCATGCATCATGGCTATAGGTGTTTGAAAACACCTTTTTTTTTTGTGCTGGCTGATGGCACCACATCCAGAGAGGTTGGCCTCAGCACCATGTGACAGGTTAACCAATACTAGTCCAAGTTAGAAAATGGTAAAATCTTATTGAGAGTTCTCTGCTTGCTTTGCAGACAAAATTGCTGAGCTCCTATTGATCTCTGGCTCCAAGCAATTGTTCCATGAAAACATAATCATGTTCAGATATTATGATGATGCATCCAAGTCTGAAACTCTAAAATAGAAATGAGACAGCTATAACAATAGTATCAGATTTCTCTGAATTTACTCAGTCTGTTTTCAGAATGGAGCATGCTTCTGGGAACATTCCATATTACTGACATTTTAGCCATCCATTTCAATTTGTAAACAGGATATAAAATAAGTTTCCTGATGATCCTTTGTCTCTCAAATATCCCACAAAACCATTTCCTCAGAAACTGCAAAATGTTAACCAGCTATTACTGCCAATGGCTTTACACCATGAAAAATGTGCAAACTGCAGATGGAGAAATAAAATAAAACACATTACAGAAAAGCAAAGCTATTCAAAGCTATTGTACTACAACAATAGCAGCACTTCTCATGAAATATTCCATTTACTGCCTTTCTAGCCTTAATCTATTAATGAAAGAAAAATATTTTGGTTTTGAAAATTTTTTATCATGCTTCACTGGGCTTCATGGCAAACTCCACAGGGCACACAGAAAACAAGTTGTTATACAATTGTAAGCTTTAACATTTACAGCATAACCCACCAGAACTGTTATAGCTATTAAGACAACCCTGTCATCAGCTGTGTGTCTGTCATGAAAAAAATACCAGTCTTTTCTTGTGCAGAATCCTTAACTGTGTAAATCACCTGACGTATAGGTGCAGAGTGTTTTCTTAATGCCACTTACTGAGTGGTCTCAGGGTTATTCCTCCCTTACTATTCACTTGCAGTGAATATGCAGTCTATAACTAGAGACTTCTGCCTTTTTATGACCAGGCCTTAGGAAGAAAGCAGGAGGGAGTACCATTAACAGCAGAAAGAGGAAAACAAGATACATGACAGTAGACTGCTAGGAAAGTGGGTTGTCCAACCCAACCCAAATCACTAGCTAAAGCTACAATCTATACTGTTTTAAGGAATTTCCAGTCCATACATATACCTGAAGATGATAGCAACATACTGGCTTCCGTAACAAACAGCAAAAAGACTTACCAGGAGATGTCCATGATAGACTTGTCAAACAGCTCATGGATGACAACTAAAGGGCGTTTCAGACATGTGAGCTTAAAATAGAAAAAACAACACACTCAGAAATGTAAGTTCTATGCTACAGATATTACCACATTAACACTAAGAGTCTAACAACATTCAAACAAGACCTGGCTAGGAGACAGCTGTATGCCTTGTGGTCTTTCTGAAGCATCTAGGTTACCCATTCCATTACAGGCACAGAAAAGCTTTGGAGAATAGCAGCTGACATTCAACCCTCACCTCCTTTCTGAAACACGGACTGAATTTCTTAACCAACTTTGCCTTTACATCGCAGTAATAGAACACTCTCTACCACTTAAAAAGTAATTTCACAGATGCTAAAGACAGCTTCTATTCTAAGCTTTAATGAGATAAGAATGTTGTAAACTGCCAGCACAGGAGGAACACAGAAAACAGATTAGGTTTCCATGTCCTCACTCAGACTCACTTGTCTAAATAAGTGAAGCCTATCAAGAGGAAAGGGAATTTGACTCACCATTATTCTTAAAGAGGATTCCTCTATACTTATAAATCAGCTTAGAAAGAACTGAATATGAAAATCCCCAGTAACCTGTTCTAAATCATTCTAAGCTCTTTAATGTTAAACGAAAGGTCTTGACATCTATAGTACATATTACAACTGAAATAAAGCAGAAGACAATGTGGTACAGGATGTTTCATGCTCAAAGGTTCACAGATGTAGTGTAGCAGTCACCTTCAGTAGTTATTTCTTTTACGCTTCCATAGGTCTGTGTTATATGTGTAACAATTAAGGTCTTCAGGGCAAAGACTGCCTGCAACTTTGCATCTCTATAATACCTAGTATAACCTCAACAGTAACCCTAGATGAAATCATAGTATAAAGTAAAAATACTGAGAGCGATACTTTGATAAGGGTATGCACTGGTAGCATTGCCAGAAACAGACTTAGTGTTGTGCATTTAGCAATTAATGGATAAATATCACACTGGAATCTATAAATAGTAGACTGCAGTTAGCAATTGGTGTGTTCTGGCACATTCTCATCACAAAGCTTTACAAATCAGTTAAATTTATTCCTTGTCCTTTCCAGTTGCCAAACAACCGTCTTGCATTTCTAAGTGTTGGAATAGCTACTCTTCTCTTAGCCAGAATAACAATTTTAGCGTAAAATTTACAGTAAAACCCAAACTAGACATTGAGAACTTGAAAATATACTTAAAAAGCTCATTCACTGTCACATTCCTCTTTCAACAGCAAAAACAGGAAAAAAAAGCCAGGAAATGAAGTCAGAACAAAACAGAAAGATGAGCTGCTCAGAAGCAGCTATCCTGTGCTTGCTGTGTTCTCCTCATGCCCATAAAAGCAAGACTAACAAAGGCAGACTCACTCTAAGAGTGATTAATGAATAGGTGGGCTAAACATGGAGAAACAGTACTCTTAAAAGACTCATATGGAGAATGAGTAAAAGACATAGGAAGAAAATAGGGTGGAATTATGTTTATTAACTGAGGTAACATACGATTTCTCTTAACAGTTCCCCCCAACCCCTCACTAGGGCAACATATTCTGCCACTGCTGTTGGCTTTAGAGAAATGAACTAACACCAATCCACTTCCTCCCCCCCAGATAATCCTCTAACAACAGAGAGAAAAACACCTAAACATTAACCTAAATGTAAGACCTAATGCTGCACATGTGGCCTTTGTGCTAAACCCCAAAGTTATCCAAATAACCACATTAGTTCAAGGGTGGCAAAACACCCACTTACCCAGACAGAAAGAGATCGATCCTTACTACCAACAGCACAACAGCAGTAGGGACAACTCGACTTGGTGGAGCTCCCATTCTTTTGTTTCTTCTTGAAGATTTTCGGATTGAATTTCTGCACCAATGAGATGCCCCAAATATTATTACAGTAATTACATTTCAGTAGATCTGCTTTAAGAGCAAGTTTCCCACTTAGGAGTGAAAAAAAAACAAACTTTTCATAGAAGCAAAGTCCTTAACCAGACTATGAGAGCACTGACAAAAGCACATCTGCTTTCTGAAGAGGCTTTCTGAATGCCTTGACAGGAATGGTAAGTAATAATAATTTTACTAGCAATAGGAAGCCACTAGAAACCTATATCACTTTAATCAAGTCACTGAACAGCTAACCAAGCTGGTGTGGTTAGCTACTAACATACTCCTGCACCCACACCCTCTTATCTTGTTCATGTGTGTCCAGTTCTCTTATCACAAGAGCAAACTGATTGCTTCCAACATGTAAAGTTGACACTTTTGCATCACTACTGTGGGGTGTGCTTTACTAATCATGACACCCATCTTCACCTCTTGTCCTATTTATGCATAAAATTATCAAAAGTTTTACTTCAGGGATAAATTACTATCACTCACTCACCACTACTGTAACTGCCTTCCGATGCCCTACAAAATCCATGTTGGTTTTCCATCCATCTCTCTCAATGATCTGAGCTGTAGGTCCAGAATTATTCATGGCATGAGCAGAAACAAGATAGTGACCATCAGGTGACCAGCTAAGTCGCAACACATGAGTTGTCCCTCCACACTGACAAAAAAAACCACCCAAACCAAACAAGAATTAGAGCTTTAAAAGTGGCAAACAAAGGATGTTTAATAGAAGATATTCAAGTTTTAGATTTAGGGAATATGATTACAAAGTCAGTCTTTTGTGACTATAAAAGCATATCTTTACATACAATTCTCAGTACTTCAGCTGTATTTTATACAGGTGATGTAGTGTGCCTTATGAAGCCCTACCAAAAGGGGGAAAAGGAACCCAGAGAACTTTTTTAAAGGAAACAAAACATAAGTTATTTTGGATACTGTACATTCAAAGTCTTAATTAGTGACAGGGCTGCAGCATACCCAACTGCTAACAGTGAAACTTCAACTTGCAACACCAGCTCACACATGAATTTAGGCATTTACACTATATACAAAGAGTAACTGCACTAATCACAATACCATAGATCACTGCAAAACACGCCACTCACTAAGCACCAACTTCTGTCCCCAGAAATTTGATCTCTTGATCAAAATCATCACGTAACAGCCCTATGATCCCAGACCAAAGATCCCTCCTAAATACTTATCCTATTTCTGATAGTGGCCAACAGAAGAAGCATAAGGAAGAAGGTAAGAACAGTGTATTTAGTGTGCCAGTATTTCCTTGGAATAACCTTTGCATTTCCAGGAATTTACTTAATTGCTTACATAACCCAAATAAACCTTTGACATCCACAACATCCAATGGCAATGAGAGTCTCACTTTAATCACATTGTGTGAGAAGGCAGCTCTTTTTCTCCCCTTTAGAACCTGCCATCTGATAGTTTCATTAAATTCAGCCCCATTAAATCAATCAATGTTTGTGCAGAATCAGAGATACTATTTTTATTCATTCTGTAGGAATTCACTTTGAACAGTCACACATTCTGGAGTACCTCATCAAAGGGTTTTGTGATGCTGGTTTCCAACTGCCAGTCCATGGTCCGCCACACCTTCAAACTTCGATCATCAGCCTGAGAGGCAATATATTTCCCAACAGGATCCCAGGTCAGCCCTTTCACCAAGCCAGAATGCCCCTTCAAAGTGGCAAGAATTTCTGCGCACACAAACATTGAGAACAAGGAATAGTTGCTGATATCTCCTTTATGACAAACTGCTGAGGAGATCTACAAGATCTTTTGGAAACAGCATTATTAAATATAACTTCCTTTAATGTACAAACAACAACATAAGGAGTGCAAAGTTCTTTATAAGAAACAGATCAGAGCAGAAACACCAGCAGAACCCCAGGTGTTCAGAATAGCACATGCAAGCTATGGAAAGTAGCAGTTTAACTGGAACTTCAGTTAAACATTCATCCTCTCCCCCGCACCCAAAGATTATCACAACAAATTCAGCTTTGTGCAGCAAATGTGAACTAAGCCAAAGTTGTAGCTGAACAGACATACAAGCCTGGCAGACCTGGTAACCTACTTTCAGTCAATCTCCTCCCAATCGGACTATGAGAGAAGAGGCTGCGAGTACTGCACAAGCTACACAGCTAGTGTGAATGTCTAAAAACTCTGGTATCTGGATTGTAAGCAACACTAAAACATAACACAGTGACTAGGCACCACAGAATGGGAGTTTTAGCCTGCATCAAGTTATGTGGTGAGAAGCAGCCAGATAAAAGCACATGCTCCCTAACTGCCACAGACCCTCACAGGTCAGCTAAAGCTGTCCAGTGTGCTGGCTGCTTATCCCTGAGAAACAGACTTTGGGACTGTGTGATCTGCCAGCACTGCAGCAATGGAAGAAGGAAAATGGCCATCAAATGTAAGACTTGAGAGCTTCTGCTACTGTGAGGCTCCACTAGTCCTTCCCTTCACCCTGTAAAGTCCCACTGCTTATTAAGCAGCAGCAGTTAAAATGGGCTAAATAAAATAATGCCACCCCAAAGGTGAATGAATGTGAAGTCTTGTGAGTACAAAGGCAACAGGGGAAAAAAAACAAAACAACCATATATGCATATATAGATGTATTATCAAGCTCAAGTTCTATCTCTTTGGGATTTTGGGGGGGAAAAGGTAAAAGAGAAAATACATGTGACAACCTTCACGTAAAATTAGCAACCTAAATGTAGCTGCTGTCTACAGCAGAGTGGCATCCACTGCTCATTGCCATCCAAACTTGGAAGGAGGACTGGGTCACCACATTGCAAGAACATCATCTCAAAAGACAGACAACCCATTCCCACCTGCTGATTTTCACAGTCAGTGGAAAGCACCCATGGGGTAAAGAGCTTACCACAAAGCTTTACATATTGCACATCTGAAACGTAAAAATTCTCACCTGGGAATTTGACAGCATTCCAGATGACAACAGTGTTATCCACACTACAGGATGCCAGCCAGGCATCATGCGGAGACCACGCTACATCCATGACATCTGTTTACAAGAAGTTTTCATTTAAGACATTGATGGTAACCAGAGAATCCCAAAAATCTCTTTTAAAAGAACTGGTGTGGCAACTTCTTTTCAATCACTGAGAACTTATGATTCCACCAGAGTGGAAGGTAAGAAAGAACACAGCAGCACTCGCCGGGAGGGAGCTCTTTTTTACAGCGCCCAATGGGGAGCAACAACAAAATCCAGGGCAGAGAATGCAAGGTTTAGTGATGACAGGAAGTACTAATGCCTGTATAAAGTACTTTGTCTTGTTTTGAATGAAGAAGCAACAGCAGCTGTTGCACTGCACTCACTTTATTCCAACACACGTGGAGTGATGAAAGTGATTTTAATCTTTATTTTAATCGCAGCTCGCATCAGCAGGTGCAAAACACATTTGAAATCTGGTTTATTCATCTTTTGCAGTGCTCTTCAGATTTACTTTTTCTTAAATAAATATTACTATTCTTTGGGTTACAAAAGTTTGTATTTTGCTAACCAGATTACTCACTGCAAGTGTGAACATTTATTGAAATAAAAACGCAGTTTAGCTTCCATTATACAGATTTATTTTTAAGCTACCAAACAGCAAAATATAAGTTCCTTGGTTGCTAATTTTTCTACTACAGTAGTTGCTTGAAGTTTTCAGCTACTTTGCCTAAAGTGACTTGTACGAAAATCAGCATTTGATTAAAAATGACATTTTCTTTTAGGTTTTCATTGATGCTTTCAGAAGTTGCCACCAAATACGTACTTTTTGAGGAAAAACTGAAAAGGTTATTTTTTTCCTCCCAAATACGTGCACATTATGTTCATTCAACACCTTTTAACTTACCCCCTGAATGGCTTCTGAGAATCGATACACACCTCCACTGCTCAACATTAGTGAGTTTGCTACTAGAACCAAACACAGTGCTAGGTCCAATGTACCTAATTAAAAAAGAGAAAGTTATCAACAGAACAACCTCAGGTTCTTCAAACTTTCTTGCTAAAGAAAATCAGATGCATGGTACACTTCTTTTTTATAATTAATTATTCCTGCAATGAAAACTGAAAGGAAAAAACACTTTCTTTTTTTAATAGAAAGTAATTCCAGTTATTAAAAATTAGCTTCAATAAAATGTACGATTTCTACAAATAGTAAAAGAAAATTAGCATTTAAGATAACTCTTCAAATCTCATCAGGAAGCTGTCTTCAAGTACAGAAGAAAATGCCTCAGCTCCTTGGTAGGACAGAGACTGCCCAGGTAGACACACTCCAACCCAAGAGACAGGCCATCAAATCTCCCATACCAGGTTTTAGCTCCTTATGCACTGGGAGAAGCAGTGAGCTTACGAGAGACCAGCACAGGGAAGAAACATTAAGAGATGTGACAGAGTAACCTACTTAAAATACAACATAAAATCAGGAAGGAAGAAATATGCTTACGCAGCTCGTTTCCACACCATAATCAACTTGTCATCTCCCCCTGAAGCCAAGTAAACTCCATTGTTTGACCATCGCACACAGTTCACACATGCTGAAATGTAGAAAAAAGAAGTTTGTAAGATGAAATATGAGAATAAGTGGTTCGGGACTGGGGCAGAGTTTATAATAACCAAAACTTGACAGGAAACGGTTAGGATTTAAGTGTGCTTTTTCCACTTGTAACAGTTACTCTGCCTGCTTTAGATAAATGAATTAGTACTTATCTTTCAGCAGCAGTTGAGGAACTTCTTATTTTAAAAGCCTACTCCTTATTTAAAAAAGCTTCACCAGAAGTAGCTCAAAAGAAGAAAGATTAATATTCATCTAACGAAGAAAACTGCTTGTGGTAAATGAGGTAGGATTAACAGGGCACAAAAGAGACAATGTATCTTGAAGATGATGCATCTTGAAGAAGGGACAGCTTTTCAGGTAACCATACTTCTTTCAAATGTCATATGCAATAAATCCAGAATAATTTAGAACTACAAGAAGATACTTCATATGGTATCTCTTTTATACTTAATTCTTCTCTTGCCCTTTCCTTCAGGGCTTCCCAGTTCCTCAGAATGTGCATTATCAATTACTTGATGCCCACTGCTGGAAAAAAGCTCATAGGGAGATCTCCAAAGGTAACTGTATTGCTCTGCGCAGTTTCCTACATTTTCCCAACATTTTCTGCTGCACATCTAAACCAGTATACAAGCAAAGTATGAGACCACTTTGCTGTATAGTATTGATTCTTCACCACTGAACAGGGCATGACTTTTGTACAACATGAAACACTTAAAAAAAGGTAAAACAAAAAAAGAATAATCTCTGTTACCTAAGTGATTGTCCATCTGACAAAGCATTTTGGGAATATTTTCATTCTTTTCATCTTCCTCTTTCAGGACAGGAGCCATATTCCAGATTACAACTTTCCCAGAATCCTGACCTGTAAGAGAACAAAAAGCCCACCCACCCCTTTTTAATACATACAAAAAGGCTTCTCAACCTAAACATCTGTTCTGGAACTGAGATAAAATTGAGGCATTACCAGAAGCATATGAATACAGATGCCATTCGGATACAATTACACCAAGCCAGAAGTGGTTTATTTTTCTTGAAGCTCTTAAAAATAAAGGTTATACAGCCTTGTTCAAAAATCGTGCTGTGCACAACTGATGGCAACTGTAGGGATGAACTACTTATTATAAGATTGTATTTTAAAAGAGAAAAGAGAGATTCAAATCTGACATTGCAATTATTGTAGCCAACATAAAATTATTCACTATTGTGATCCACATAATATTTTTGCATCTGTTTCTTAAGCTCTTCCATTTATATAATTGGATTTCTTTTGCCCCAGTAGCTCTAGTGTTTAGCAGGTCAAAAAGCCCAACTTCACATTCAGTTCCTCTTCAAAGAAGAAATTTGGCCAGTATAGCCACAAGTAATTACTGCAGCTTCTATCTCAGTGATGTCCACAAGGATGAGTACATCAGAAAACATAACCCTGCCTTCTGCAGTAACAGCAGCACTTGCCAATACATTTTAATGACTTACACAATGATCTCTTTCTCAGAGGTAAGTGATGTGTTTTTAAAAGGGTCAAACTGATTCAAGTGTTGCGAAGGCACAAGATTATTATTATAGCCAAAATTCAAACTTCTGTCAGTATCAAACACACCTTGTCCTCCTGTTGCAAACTTGGTCCCATCTGGATGAATGTCCACTGAAAATATTGGCTTTCCTGGAATTAGAGAACAAGCAGCAACACCGTGAATTGGTTTACAGCCAAGAGAATGCAGTAATGCCAAAAGAACCATAACTCTTCTAGATGGCAAATAACTTCCTTCTTTTAAAAACTACAGTTGTTAGGATTTACAGCTGACTATGAGTTGAAAGCAAGCTAATTACAGAAATGGCAGCCTATTAAAAGTGTTTATGGAAGTTATCAAGCCATAACAAACCAGTGATAACCAAGGACACTTAATCCAGCAGGATATGCCAAATGCCTCAAAGCTAAGTAACACCACAAAGCAAATGCCAACGAGGCAAAACTGATTTGAGTAAGGAATTCCGTCCAGGTTTTTACAGTTCATTAGCTGATGACCTGAAGCAAGTTTTGTTCTGGTTTCTGGTTTTGTGTTTTTCAATCCTCCCCAATCTCAGACTGCATCTCTTGGTCACACAATTACCTGTCTCAGATTCTGTTGCTATGAAACTCTTCTACCCAAATACTAGCTTCTATTTTTATAGCTTCCACATAGACAGAGGAAGACTAACCAACTCTAGAACTAACTCTTAAATCCTTCAGTTCCCCACATGCTACATCTTTAGAAGAAAACTAGTAATCTTCCAAAAACGTAAACTCTATAGCAAATAACTAATATAGCTGGGGAACAGCTCTGGAAACCAGACAACCCTCCTCTCTCAGCCTAATCTGCTCCAATCACTGGATCACACCCCCTCTCCTACATGTTCAGAGTTCTTTTAACCTTTGCAGAAGGAGAAGGAAGAGGGAAGAAGTAAGCTTATTGCCCTTTCAATGATGCTGAAAGAGCTACCACTAAGGATTACTTGAAGGAACACACGTTATTTCCACATTCAGATAACTTTTGGCAGCAGTCCCAACCCTTTCAAAGTGGAATGCTTCTGCAAGCAAGATCACACATGTGCCAGTATAAAATAAGGCAGTTTATCTCAGAGCCAAAAGAACTGGTACCCATATACCAGGGTTACTCAATAAATTCCCCTCTATCTCCACTCTTCAGTGCATCTTCACAATATGTTTAGACGTAAAAAGATAAAATTTGGAGAACTGATCCAGTGATAGGTTTTAGCATCCGAATTCGTTGACACTAAACTGCTAACAAAACCCCCCTCCAAATACCCAGGATTTCTTACTTTTTGTGGGGTATGCATTTTGCTTCATGGCAACTTTTTCTTTATGGTGACTTTCTCTAAGGTTTATTTTACTTGGATTTATACTAAAAGTGACACGTGATTCCCCTTAAAATTTCTACAGGCAGCCAAGCAAAGACCTTAAGCACAGTAAGACGGCACTCAACTTACATTCCTTCCAAGTCCTTTAGGCCACATAAAACACAACCTGAGACATAGCTGTGGCTTTTCTTCAGCTT